GTGTGTATACATAATATATATATAATAATATATATATGTAGGTCTAGGTGTGTTCGGGTCTTTTCCCATGTAAGATTAAGAGTATCTTGGCAATGTTTTGGTGAGATCCCACTCACCATCCTCAGGCTGGTGCTTTCGGCTTTGTGCCAGTCCAAGCAGTGTGTGATCGGAGCTGCCGTCTCTATAAATACTGGTGTGGGGGGGGGGCTGGTGTGCTGGGCTGGTTGGCTGCGCTGCTGCCTCTTGATTGGTTGATGGAGTTGATGTTGGTATAATGGGCTGTGTGATGGACTTGTGAGTTTTGTTGTGGAGATATCCTGGATCTTGTGCTGTAATCTTTTGGGTCGTTTGTTTTGTAGTGATCTTTTTTCCATTAGCCTCCCATTTTTTAATGGCTTGGGTTGTGTGATGGCCAAATTAATATCCAACATTGAACACTCCAGCAAGAGAATAATCAGGGAAGCCATCGAAATAGAGAAACACCCCCATTACATGAATAAACGGGACGATACCTCCCGTTTGGTCTGTCCAATGTATAGAAGAATAAGTACCTGCCTGGATGAACACAAAAATGCAGTAAAAAAGCTGGAACACACTTCCTCACTAGTCCAACACATGAAAGCAACAGGTCATAGCATCGACTTCAATGGTACCAAAACCCTAGCCACTATAGAAAACCCCAGCTACAGAATTATCAGAGAAGCCATAGAGATTGAAAAAAGACCTGAAAGCATGAAGAGATGATTTCACCAGACTGTCAATTATTTGGAAGCCTGCACTCACAAAGAAAAAAATCTCCACACCACAAGCCAGGCAAACACCTGGGCACAAACAGATCCCCCCTGATACCTCCAGCTCAAACACACCCCAACCAGGCACCCAGATGAAACCTAGCTTCCTAATAAATGATAGCCGACCGTTTACTCGGAGCCAAGCCGCACTAAAAGCCTCCAATACAGGAAACACAATGTTGCCAGCCAATCAAGACAAAAAAAGCTACAAAACAGACAGAAGATATTAGAAACACCAATCAAGCAGAACACAGCAAACTCCAAGACCAATAAACACAGACCAAGACTCCCAACCAATCAGGATGAAGAAAAAACCATTCTGGCACAGCAGTAGGCTAGCCCCAAATTTAAAACTGAAACGGCTGTGAAAGTCTGACTCACAGATGAACACAATACAGAAGCCTGATGATGGCAGATGAGATTCTGCTGAAACGTTGCTACATCTTTAAAAGCACAACTATAATGACGTGGGAAAATACCCAAACAAAGCTGAATACCATACATGTAAGTACCCGCAAAAAATTAAGAATATATATATATATATTGAGAGAGAGAGAGAATGTATGTATATGTATGTGTGTGTATATTCTATATATTGAAATATATATATATATTTCTATATATTGAAAAATGCATACATTAGAAATATCTCAAAGACATCTCTTTGCCAAAAATGTTTATATGATATCATATGAGGGCATTATAGCTCTACCAATAGCTCTATCCAATTCATTGATGCTCAGTTTAACTAACAGATAACAACAATATGCTCATAACTGATATAAATATTTTCTACAGAATTCTTTTCATAACCACTGAAAAGTGAGTCCCATTGAGTTTCATGGGACATACTACCATATACATGTGCATAAAAAGCAAGTTTGTTGCTAAAGCTAAAACATTTACTGCATTAACAGAATAGGCTTTTTGTTAAAGGCAGGAATTATCTAGAAGTGGATGAAACTAGGATTCCAAAATTTGATTCAGTGACAATTCAATCAAAGGAAACCTCTTCAGATTTCTGAATTTTAAAAAAAAATCACTGAAAAATTTGAACTACTTAGATGCAACTACACATGTGCAAAAACAATATTTCAGATTCAGAAATCCAAGTTGAATCAGTTATTTATTTTGAATCATTCTATCTGAATCAATCTAAATGTTTTTAATGATCAGCACATTCTATCAAACTGGATTAGGTTTTGTAAAATGAAAACAATAGGATCAGGGCTGATTTGCACACGTCCACTATCCATATGGTAACACAGTACAGTCAATTGTTTCTCTTATTTTTCCTTACTTTATTTATTTAAAAAGAGGTGTGCAGCAACCATATAGTTATGCATGAACATGGCAAGTATATTATTATGTTATTGGGCTGCTTAACTGTTAAGATCCAAGTACTCTAAAACAGACACTCATATAAACAAATTGTTCCCAATCTTTCAAATCCCTTTTCAACAATTTCAGAAAATTGAGAATATTCTCACGGTTGGCATTCAGATTATGCTATCTGATCCTTTAATGTTTATAGCTGCAAATTTGGCCAACTTATTTATATGAAGCTATTTGTGTTCCAGCACAATTTTAGGAGATCTTTCCTCTCTTATTATTTAACTGCTATATCTCTTACCCAGCTTCATATTTATTATCATTAACAAAATCTGTATCAAGAAAATTTGCTTGTAATAATGCATTTTTTTTTTTTAAAAAAAAAAAGCATATTTGCTTCTATTGTACTAATATACTCTTTCTAATTTACTGGTCTTATAATTGAAGTGATTTAATATATTAAACATAGATATTCTTTTTCATATTTTTAATGAAAATATATCTTGTGTACTTCTGGGAAAGGATGATGAACATACATGTGTAAAGACCAAGGAACAGTGAGTAAATCATTTCCTTGCAACTTCTCCAGATAAGGAGAAGATAGATGATTGATCACATGTGTTCCAAATGGCAACTATAATTAAAGTTCTACATGAAAATAGAATAATTATTTTCCTTTAAATGATAGACTATGAAAGATCCTTAAATACACATTTATCTTTTCATTGCCTTCAATCAAACATCAGTCTCAAGAATCGAGGCTCAATATCATGGATACTTATTCATGAATTACTGTTTATGTGTAAAAAATTTCTCGTTATAGCTATCTATGTCAATGTACATACAGAAGGAATTCCATCCCAGAAGCTAAGTCTGCTCCATAAATATGTTACTAACAAAAAATGCAGTTCCTAAATTAGCATACATGACTCATAGCATGTATTAGGATAACAGTATTGTGAAGTAATTTTAACTTAGAAAAAAATATAACCATAAAGGTAATCTGATAAGTATCAGGATTCAGGCAATTTTGTTGAAGGGAACAATTATTTTCAATGTATTTGTAGATCTTAAATGAAAAACATATATAGTGTGTATGTATATTATATATTGTTTGAAAAATAACTAAACTGATGCCATGAGGATTTTGAAATACATCTAAAAACAAAACAGATACTTCCTCCTCTCAAATCTTCCTTTCTCTCCCAATTACATTCCTTGCTCTTTTTCTGCTCTATATGTGCTGGATTGAGTACAACCTTCATAAATATACTGTGAGAGTATAGAAGGCCTTATATCTTTGAGCTTTACAGTAACTGAGTACAGTCTATCTAATTTCTCTTGCCCAGTACAGTGTACTCATTCATTCCGTGCCTTTTTCTTATGACTTGAAAGTGAGAGGTGAGGTTTTCTCTGTCTCCACTCTCTTGTATAATTGTCTTTTGGGTTTCAGAGATATAGAGGGAAGTTTCCATATCTCACAATGTAGTATGTTAAAGCAGAACTAAATACCTCTGTTCCAGAATTTAAGGATATTTTTCTGTAGATGTGAAGGGCATATTACAATTAAAGCAAATTAATTTATACTCATATCTTCAAGAAAAAAATAAATTCATGTTCAAATCTGAAGGACTGAAAATTTGAAAATGTTCAAATCAGGACCCCATTCCACATTTAAATAGGAAACTAGTTCAGCTTGCAATGCTACACGTTCCTAAGAATAAATACGTTGCATTCTAGGTTTTAAGTTAAAATACATGCAAAGAACTATCTTGAAAGAATATTGGACAAAAATATAGATACGAAAGGATTAATTTTTAGTAGGAAGTTGATATCAAAAGACTATGCTCTACTTTTAATTTTGATTTTCTAAATAATGGAAAAGAGATTTTGCATCATTGTATTAATTTTCATATATATTAGTTTCAAATTTTGAATGGTCTTGTAGAGATTGGAACATTGCCATCAGCAGCTACCACTTTTTATCACCAATGTATTCTTACACAAGTATATTTTGTGAAGATTGTTTATTTCTATCTTTCAAGGTCAACCTCTGGTCATTAATGTCTTCTATAAACTAAGAAGTAAGAGCACGCAATGACCCTTAATTTACATTATATTATACTTTCTGCGTACTACATGAAAGCTACTTAGGAATACATTCTCAAGGTATCTTTGTGCTATCCTTTACCTAGGGAAAGCTTATACCATATCCTAAGGTCTATAGAAATCACATCTAGATAGCAATTTCCTTAGAACTTAATTTGTTTTAACTACTTTCCCAACATTTCCAATTTGCTAGAGTATGAAAAGATTGCTGAAATCCAAACGACGCTGGAAGAAGAACTCAGTATAGAGACAAGTCACGGCAAAGTCAAGAATCACTATAGTACTTTTACAATCAGCTGTTCCAACGCCACTACTGGTGACTTGGACTTTCCTGTTATTGTGTGGAAGAAATGCAGTATTTTTTGTTCTGTTCCTTGATGCTTTGAAATTCTGAACAAAGACCTTAAAAAAGGAATACATTTCTGATTGTTCAACTTAAAAACTCAACTCAGGAATAACTACTGGCTTAATTTAGGAATATCTATTGGATTAACTATCATAAATTAAATAATCACAGAAGCAGACAATCTGTGGTTTTAGATGGGTAAGAGAACCTCATTCATGTATGTATATATAGCTAATTACAAACTAGAAGCAATAGCATTTCTTATAAAATTGAAATTCAAGTAATGTATTAAAATTTAAACTAACCTTCATTTAAACCTCTTTAAATAAAGAATGATTTCTCCTTAATGTTGTTATATATGTTATTATTTTAATAGTGCAAAATAAAAAAGGCAAATGTAATAACTAGGTTTGTTACTTAAACATCTTAATTAATCATATGAGTTTTAATCAATGAAAACTACTATGTATTAATTACAAAAAGACAGGTATATTTTAGATCATTATTTCAGAAGAGATTTTTTCCCCACAGGGAGAATGTTATATTTATGCTAATGGATACCAGCTAAATTCTTGTATCAATACAATATATAAACCACTAGCAGTATTTCAGTCAAAAATATTTAAAATAATTATAAGCACTTCATCAATAATTCTGTACAATGCTTAAGAGAATCCTACTAAAGTCCAGCTGAAGCTCAAATTTCATTGCACTCTTCAAAGCTTGTATATCTTGTCCCTGGATTGGAATAAGAATGTGACAGTCATAGATAATCATTCAACACATGTGTATATATGTCTATTTAGAAAGAACCTACAGTGATTTTAATGAGTTTACTTCCACATGAGCACAGGCTTTAGCTTTAACATAGAAAAACTTCTGTTGGATCAGAAACACTTCAGCAATCTAGCATCCTATTTCTTATAGCAATCAGTAGTCAGCAAAATGCTCATTAGTATGAAAGAAAGGGAGCATTCTCTCCTTTATACTTCCCAGGACTGGTATTTGCAGACAGATAACTCTTATTTGTTATCTAGAGATAAAATACATACATGATGACTAAAATTGATTTTTTTAGTTTTTTCATTTCCATCACAAACTAGGATTCAATAACTCACTGGATGACTTTTATTGCACACTATTGGGAGTCAGCAAAAAGAAAACTTGGGACTTTTCACCCACTGTAAGGCTTTAAAAGCTCTAAATTGGAAAAGGAGGCTAGCAAGTCTCATTCCAGACAGTGATACTAAGAAATAAAATTCTCAGCTTTCATTTTAAATGACTGAAAAATATTTATTTCAATGTAGAGTTGCCCAGGTTACTAGTCGTTTTCATCTGAGAGCAATTACAATTCAGAGAAGTTTGTTTTAATAGAGCAATTATTTAATGACTATGTTCAGATAAAAAAAGACACAGGACAATTATAAATAATAGTATTTGTTCTTTTCATGGCTAAAAAAAACCTCACCAGAAAAAATACTATCCGATAGCATAACATATCAAAATTTAAATTTCATTTTATATATATCATCAATAACTATACTATCAATTAGTTCTTATAAAACGAAGGCAGATAGCTATATCTGACACATTTCCCTCAGCCACAAAACTTTTATTTACTTGAGCTGTTACTGTTTGCAGTCCAGAAAGTTCATTCTTTCACTTTGCTTTTGTGCAGCTAATATGACATCACACGGGGATTTGTGTAATTAGTTACATTTAATGACCTGAAATGTAAATACAACAAAGTATCACAAGACTTAGTTGATACACACATTTTGTCTGTTTTTCAGTCAGTTGCCCAATATAGCACTATTTTATGAAGTAGGTTTATGTTTATTTTTTTCCAGAACATAAATTTCCTCTTCCCCACTCTACCTCTCAAAACTCATATATTGGATTATATTGGATTACCATCACACTTCTTTGGTATCTAACAAAAAGGTACAAAGAAAGAAAGAAGATAGGCATGTACGTGTATTTCTGTGTGCTTGTGTTTTATAAAACAACCAATAAATTAATTGACAGGACTGAATATTCATTCATTTGCCTGAATAAAAATAAGTTAGGGGCTCTTCATGTTATGTCCACTTCATTAAAGTTTCCATTGGCTTATCAGGTTCTATGATAAGCTATTTTTAAAGTGGGGTGTGTTCAGCTCCTGTTCTCCCAGATTTTGCATAGAGAAACCACAAACAAGCACATTTCTTGAACTTCAAGCCTTGGAGAGATTTAAATCAGCTTTAAAAAGTGCAAATCTGGTCTGTAACACAGATAACACATAGAATGAACCTAATGTTATGGCTTCCTATATGCCTTTAAAGGCACACATTTTTAATTTGAAAAAAGCAAGGATAAAGGCAATGGATGAAATAGTAAATAGATTTGGTTAAACAAGGATTGGTTGTAAGGACAGAAAACCGAACAGCATAGTGAGTGTATTAGTGTAGATTAGATTTATCTCTTTCTTCTCTTTTTTTAAATCATACTTTTACTTGGCTTACTATTTCTTATCTCTTTTCCAGCTGCACAACCCAAAAATTGGTGGGTACATATGTAAATAAGTGAGGAGGGCTTTTTATATGATGTTGAGTTACAATGCATTTGGTCTAATAGATCAGGCATGGTATAGATTCTTAATGATTTTATTAGAGTTAGCTAAATCAGGACCCACATTTAAATAAACAGCCTTAATTATTCAATTATTATCAATATCAGGATTCAAGCTTCAACTATATAAAATAGAACCAGAACTCTCCAAAACATCTGGAGAAGTTCAACAGATTTCTCTTCCCACTGAATAAATAGCAAGAGAATCTTCACAGAGCATTATATATAAATTAAGGGAATAGCTACCAGGTTGGAGAATATTTACTGCACAAGTTTTCCTAGAAATTAAATACTGCAATTTGGCAATACTTACTTTTCAATGTTTAAGGCCATAATACTTCTTACTGGTCTGCTCTTAGAACCAGGATTGGGGTGAAATACTTGTCCTTGTTTATTAGTTGTGGAAGCCCTAGGCATTCTAACACCATATGGATCTGTAGCATGAGTTGGAAATGGATCAAATGTGCCTGCTTTCATGCCTCCTGGCTAAAAAGAAAAATAAATGTTATACTGCAGACTTAAAAAAAAGAATACTTCATACATACAAAACACAAATATGAATTCAGCAGCACTATGAGCTGGATACAAAGTAATATGAAAGCCTACTTCAGGTATAGCACCTAATTTCTTTTCACAGAGAATCACAAAATCATAGACTTACAAGAGTTAGTCTCAAGAATATAAACAGGTCTGTCCTGAATAATATTTGGTTGTGACACCACTATAAAAATATGGGCTATAGATCAGGATAGGGAAAAAAATCCTGAAAGTGGTGACTGTAAACCACTGCTGTATTGTTGGCAAGATAATAGCGTGAACACACATAGTAAAAAAAAAATCAAGTCTAACTTAAAGGAATCTTTATCATTTTAATGTAACATTTGAATTACAATATTAACTAAATACTAGATGAACTTAATTAACACAGTAATATCTTACTTTTCCACCAAGATATATTTATGCAATTTTCACAACACTGTGAGGGAAGTCTACAGTACTGCTGAACAGGACTTCAGCCTTTGTACATATGATGGCCAAACCAAGTTGAAGTTTGATCTACCTGATCTAAATTCATGATTACATACTTTGCTTTAGTCACACTCAGATGTAAAATTAAGAAAGGAATCCAGATTTAATACACAATTATAGCAATAAATAAATTGCAGATACATTGCAGTATAGTACATACAGTATATTTCAGAAAAACTTTAATTACAACCATAATGTTTGATTCATACAACACATTAGGCATTATTTGATTTTGGTTTACCACAGATGGACATCTATAGAAATTCTTTCTCTTTTTTTCTGATTTTGTTTCTAACTATGTTTTTCTAGATCTGCACCTTGTCAAGGAAGGGGTCCATGATGGGTCACTTCTTAGATCTCTATTTGGATTAAATCTGAAAAAGCTATAATGATTCCATAACTATAATGAGGACATAGATGTACTGTTTTCTAAAATTAATTGGGTTTTATTTTTTCCCAATAAATATAGCCCTTTACATTGCGGTAAATATCACACATAACCTCTTTTCTTTGCTAAACAAAAATATCTGCAGTAAAAATTTCTTGAGAAGTTTGACTATGTACAAACACACCTTTTTTGCTGGAGAACTTGGCTTGAAAGGATGTGGAATGGGTACTTTTTCAGGTTGCCTTTTTGGTGGAGGAACCGGCCCTTCATCATGGTAAGGATTTGTATCGAAATATTCTCGGGGATAAAGATTTAGCTTGAATGGTCCACCTTTCATCAAACTGCGATGTTCTTCAGATAGTTTCTGGGCAAATTAGAAATGGAAAATGTCACATTGGGCTCTTCAACTCCTTAACCAAAGCTAGGGGCCAGATTAAGGCTGCAATTCTATGTTCACATATTTCTGGTTAAGCTCTACATAGCTGTAATTATTCCTTAGCAAACTTACATGGGATTGCATTTCTGAAGTTATAAATGCAACAAGTGATAGGAAATTAGTATTAATGAGCATTAGAAATATCAAGATAAATATATAGAAAGCAGGACCTCGGACATCATAACATTAAAGCAAATATGTACAAGAAGGAAATTCGCCAAAGTAATAAAAAAGCAGTATGGCTTTCCCTTCCTTCACCACTTAAAAGGGCTTTTTAAAACAGGTTTCACATTAAGGATAAATCCATATATGGCTCTAATACAGTCCATACCACTTCTGGGACAATCACTATAATTTTTTAACTGATGAAATTAATCTTAACAGGGAAAGTTGCAAAAGCCATTTAATGTATTACTGTATTGATGGCATGAGAAAATAATAAATTAATGGAACATATATTGAAATAATATACAAAATATATTCTTATTTATCAAAGGTTAATGATGTATAATTTTATAGCATGGTACCATATAAAATCCAATTAGAAGGAATAAGATATGTTACAACCTAGATAAAATAAAACAGAAATCCAATTGAATTTTACCTTAAAATTTATTCTTCCTATGTCATACAATTCAACTGAATGTGTGTATGGTTTACCTATGGTGAGATTTGGATACCTAGATACAGAAATAAAACAGTGATAGCAGCAACATTCAACTATCTCTTCCCTTAAAAAAGATATATTTGATATTATAATTCTAGAATGTTTTACCCATAGCCAGTTCCTTTCTTCCCTGGACTGGTATAGAGATTTTTCCCTGGTTGTACATATGCAATCTTATCTTTCAATTGTGCACTGAAGAAGGGACATGGGCCACCAATTGTTCCGTAGTAGGTTCCTATGCCACACCTGAGACACAAAAAGAATGTAGAGGTTAGTGTTCTCTATGCTTTATTAAATATACAAATAACATAATAAATATATTTATATCATACTTTATGTCATATTTGATTCAGAGGTGGTATTCCGCAGGTTCTGACCAATTCTGGAGAACCGGTAGCAGAAATTTTGAGTAGTTTGGAGAATCGGCAAATACCACCTCTGACTGGCCCCGCCCCCATCTATTCTCTGCCTCCCAAGTCCCAGCTGATTGGCTGGGTCTTCTTTTGTTGCCCTGTATAGGAGAACGGAGCTGGAATGCAGGCTAGTGGGGGTGGGAAGGGAATGGGGATTTTGCAGCATCCTTACCCCTGGAGTGGGGTGGGAATGGAGATTTTACAGTATCCTTCCCCTGCCACTCCCACCAAGCCACACCACGTCCACCAAGCCATACCCACAGAACCGGTAGTAAAAAAAATTTGAATCCACCACTGATCTGATTATCTTTATTTAAAAAAACCAACAGATGATTCCCTAATCAGAGAAAAATTGCTTATCTCTGCTTATTACATTCAAATGTATGTCTGCATTTCTGTACTTGAATTCATTCAGAATGCTAAGTCAGAGGCAAGCAAGTTACATCTAGTTCTCTGTGATCCTTTTCTGAGGCTTTTCAGGCCCTCTCAGATTGCACAGCCAAAATATGGTAGACACATCATAATCACTTTATTTGCAAACAAATATACAAACTATTTGCAGAAATAAGCTATCAATTATTCTATAGTTTAACAATACACATCCCTGCAATCCTTGGGAGCCATTATTTAAAAAGCATGCCCATCATATGCAAACCACAGTGAGTAGGTTCATATACCACACTAAAGGAAAATGAAATCCTATAATACACAAAGTGTATGAATCCAACTTATTGTTGGCTGTTGTGCTTTCTAGCTTGATTTTCTTTTCTTGCTCATACTAGTACTTTGTACTAGTATCGTACAAAGTACGATCAAGTACTTTGTCTAATATATTGTAGGTAATCCTTTGTCTCCTGATGATGCTTTGTTATGCCAAAATAGATAGTCTTTCCCAATCTGGTATACTTTCATAGGCCATCATTCCCATCACTGTGACCCATTGTGAAATATGGGAGCTTAACCAAGTTTAGCACAGAGTTAGGAAAAAAACATATCCAAAAGGTTTCGCTACATCTTTCAATGTGTGCTCACCACTCCTACCATTCATATTCAGAATGTTTTCTAGAAATGATTTCTGGGGTGTTTATGAAAATTGGTAGAAATTAAAATAAACCATCTCAGAGGAAGAAAGGTATTTGTGGCACTAGAGGGAATCTAGGGGAAAAGAAGGTTAGTATAATTAGAATCATGGAAGCAAAAACTTTATGGAAAATCCAGTGATATAGTAAATATGTGTTTATCAGGAAATGAAATCTCCTGTCAGCTTTTGTGGCAACTTAGATATCAAAGGAATCCTTAAAATACATTCTAACTGAAAATATTTATGTACTGTAAGTAGATAAATGCCATATAACTTTTCCATTGTAGTGGCTTTTTTAGAACTTACGGAAATTTATCTCCATTACTGGGAAGAAAGGGTCTGGCTCCTAGGTTTTTTTTTGCCTCAGCCAATCGGTATCTTCTCCTTAACTGAACAGGATTTGAATAACTTTCCCCTTCAAAAACTCTTGAAAACTGAGGATCAAAATATCCTGCTTGGGTGGCTCCTTTCTCTTTAATGCCTCCTGGTAGCATTTGTTTATTCTTGCTTGCAGCTTCATTAAAAGGGCCTTTAAATAAGGGAACAATTTCAGCATCAATTCAGTCATTTGTTTTAATTCTGCCATGGGGAAAATAGCTTAGAAATGTCAATAATGTCATCAGAAATGTCAATAATGTCATCAGAAATTGAGGTAGGTTGAATTTTGCTTTACATTTTGCACATAAGCTGTCTTGAATCTGAATTTGAAAACATGAATTGTTTTCAATACTTGTTCTAAGAAGCAGTTTTCAATTCAAATCATCATATGACCATTAAAAAGATTACAGCATGCTCAAGTTTGAACAAAAAAGCTTGTTCAAACCCGGCCTTTTTTTCTAAAGATTTAATCCCACCCACCCACCCCACCCCCCAAAAAAGATGTTACAGATTGGAAAATCTAGTGCTATCATAGAAGGAAGGAGAGAGTCGCACTGTCTAAAGTATGGCTTATCAACTTATAAAGAACATTCAAAAGAAATAACCAAGCAAAAACAAAACATCGTTTCTCCCCTTAGGACACATAAGGCATATCAGGGAATTGTTATTCTATCTAAAACTCTCAATCCCCTTTAACATGTATTCCTATAGAAATTATGCAAAAAAGGCAAGAAAAAAAACCCCATCCCTATAATGTACTTACGGTTAAATGGCGAGACGTATTTATCTCCAATACTAATATATTCCATTTCGCTAAAGAGGCCAATCCTCTCCATGTCTGTTTTTCCCATTTCAGAAGGCATGTTTACTTCTGTATGATAACTTTTACTCTAGAAAATGTTTAAAGTCTGATGTGCCCTAGAAGGAATACACACATTAAAATGCTTCAGTCTTTGACAACTCATCATATGCTTCTCTGAAAAAGTGCTTTTCCAAACAACTTCAGAGCACAATGCTTTTTTTTTACAATCACACTATAATAGAGCTTTCTTATGTTAAATTCATTGGAATATATTTATATAACATTCTCATCAAAATGATGTCTGTAATCTCAGAAGATTTTTTAAAATTTGGAATTTTAAATCTAACCTAACCAAACAGACTGGAGAACTTTTATTGAATCCTTGTTGTTGTTAGTTGAGAAGTTGTGTCCAACCCATCGCAACCCCATGGACAACATTCCTCCAGGCCTTCCTGTCCTTTACTGTTTTCTGGAGTCCATTTAAACTCATGCCGACTGCTTCAGTGACTCCATCCAGCCACCTCATTCTCTGTCATCCCGTTCTTCTTTTGCCCTCAATCATTCCCAGCATTAGGCTCTTCTCCAGTGAGTCCTTCCTTCTCATTAGGTGGCCAAAGTATTTGAGTTTCATCTTCTAAAGAGCCTTCTCAAGAGCAGCCAGGGTTGATCTCCTCTAGGACTGATTTCCTCTAGCACTCCAAGGGACTCTCCAGCACCACAGTTCAAAGGCCTCAATTCTTTGGTGCTCAGCCTTTCTTATGGTCCAACTTTCACAGCCATACATTGCAACTGGGAAAACCATAGCCTTGACTATACACACTTTTGTTGGCAGGGTGATCGAATCCTACCCATTACCATAATCTATAGCTGTGACTGCTCTTGAAAACCTAAGTATTTCCTATGGCCCAAATCGAATCCCTTTCACCAGTCTGAATTAAGACCAAACCCACGCCTTCCAGTCATATCAAGCAAACCTCAAAACAACAACAAAAAATTTCCATGTGCTAAATTATTAGTTGCTTGCAACTAGCAAGACTGCCTGGAATCCACTTGGATCCCACATCTTTCAAATTGTACCGGGCTGTGCCTCACCTTTTCTTTTTGCAAACCAGCCTGCCGTACCTTCCTCCCAAACCGTTGCAATTTTATGAAATGAATACACGAACCCAACGTTGGAATCCCTACGTCAGTCGTATCAGATGTACACGCTGAACACGGAGATGACGCCTGGAAGCGAGGGCTTGCACGGGATATATAGGGAGTCAATTGGACATTTCGGACTGCCCGCTCTTTGCTTTAACCTTTTGGCTGCCAGTCACCCATGGATCAACTCAGACTGGCTTAAGATGGGGAAGTCTGCAGCCAGAACTTGAGGGCGCCACCTTGCAAAAGCCTCCTCGATCGCTCCCCTCCGAGTCTCAGATAAATAACACACCCGCTCGCTCCCCCCCCCCCCCCCCCCCTCTCTCTCTCTCTCTCTCTCTCACAGGCAAGACAGGCTAGGTTGGCTCAACAGGAAAGACCCCCTCTTTCGCTTCTCTCTCCCCAGCACTCCATGATTATTGCAGCGCTTAGTTTCTCCCGCCCTTGAAAACTCTTTGTTGATACACAGTTGCCATGGTTTCCAGGGGCGCCTCGCTCCGCCCTCCTCCGATGATGTCATCACGTCACAGACTCGCAGCGGCGCCTGGAGAGAGGAGTAAGTCGGGAAATGAAGTTCGGCGGTTTCAAACGACAGAGGCGGAAAAGCGGGGCGATCCCGTTGTCGCGTCGCTCGCTTTGTTGTGCAAAGGGAGGGCGAGAAGAGCGGAAGAGTGACGTGTCCGCGGGTGGGGGGAGGAGCCTCGATCGGGGAGGAGGAGGAGCATGCCGCTGCCGGGATCGCTTCTTCCTAGCGTTTTGCTGACGGACGTGGTAAGTCAGGCCGAGGGTACCCGCCGCGGGCGCTCTGCTATGAAAGCAGTGGCATCCCTCGCCTTGTCTGCTTCGAAAGCAGCAGGTCCTCGACGGAGGCCCCGAGCCCCAGCGCTTCCTTCAGTCAGGAAGCAGCTGTTGTCCGGTCGGCTTCGGCTGGGGGGGGAACGTCGGGGGCCGCCTGCAAATCCACCCACCCACCCACCTGTCCCAATTGCAATTTAGGCACAGAAGAGCTTCTCACGCACGCTGGTCGGCATAGGCAGTTGGACGAGCGAGTTTGCATTTCTTTTATTTCCTAGATTTATAGGACTGCCCGCTGCGGCGGAGTGAAGGGGGGCTTTTAGCATTTGAAGAAGCTTGACAGCAAAGGAGTGAAGGCTAAAATAAGATGATACAATCA